GCTTTATTTCCGACCCGGACAATTTTAGGGGTCTGCACTTAACACATGCAGAATCTCATAATACCAATAATTCTCCAAACAAAAACAATTATAAAATTACTTATCCTACGAGCTTCCTCCTCTATCCAATTCCCTTATGTAACTTTGCATACAAATAATTCCCTTTTCCCCCGTACCTCGATAAGCAGTAGCTAAAACTAAAGCAGAATCTAGTTGTTTTCCTCCTCTAGGTTCCCCTCGGTCTTCAGAGAATGTAGAAGGAAAAGAAGTCGGAATTGAAAGGTGTGCTTTTTGGGAGTGCCAGAGCGCTCTATTTATAAGCATTAGGAGTGGCCGGAATGGCCCGTTTCAAATCCGAAACAACCCGTTCTGGACTCTTCGTCATTTGTAAAATTTCACATCCAGAACGGCCCGTTCTAAAACTAGAATGGCCTGTTCTGGGGTTACATTTTAACCCATAACGGCCATGTTTGGAACGACTCATTCCCAACTAGGGTTATAGGCCATTTTGGTGGTTTGGAACAGCCCGTTCCAATTTGGGAAAGGCCCGTTCTGGACTACTAAATCACCCATATTGGGCTTTTGGGTCTTCGTACAATCTGTGAAAATCGGACTGTTACAAAAATCAATACAAGGAAATAAAATTTATACTACTTTGACCCAAAATACAAGGTAAAAAATAAAGGAATTATTTATAAGGAAAATACACAAAGAAGAGAAAGTAAGCTACTTACATAACCCAAAGCTCAATAAGAGTTTAAGCCTTTTTCCTTTAAGCCTAGCCCACTCCTCTTTGTTCCTTTAGGACTTGGCCCCTAGGCATGATGTCATCAACTTCATGGTACTTCACACAAAGATATTTTACATAACTCTCCTTGGTGAGAACCTTTTATCAGTCAAAATTTCCCATTGCTAGCCCTTTTCTGAGATGTTTGACTGTCTTTAAGATTAGGATATTCACAGTGCAATTTGGTTTGGTTTATACCTTAAATGTCACTCGAACCGAAAAAAAAATTAAGTGCAGTTTGATTTGAATAAATTATGAAATTTGAACTAAACCAAAACAAACTTTTACTGTTTGGTTTGATTTTACGGTTTTTAAAATTTTTTATTTTAAAAAAATAAAATATTTAATTTCATGTTATTTGTTTAAGATTGTACGTCAAAAATAAAAACTACAAGTATACAAATGCTAAAATATTGTCAATTAATGTATTTAACACCAATTTTAACTTATTATTTTAGTAAAATCATTTCTTTAATACAATTTCAGTTATCATATTAAATATTTTTTCTCATATATATAGTTTGTCATTTAAAAAAAATATTTTCAAACGTTATAAATAATTCATAATTTTTTATTCTAAAATTTAGTTAGTAGTTTATAATATTATAAAATACCTTTTAAATATTATAATGTATATTTGGAGAGATAAACATCTTTTAGTATCTTTCAATTTTATAAAACACCTTCAATTTTATGTGTCAATTTTGTATAAATGCACATTGCATTTTGGAAAAATATATATTGATAAATAAGTGTAGTTTGGTTTAGTTTTGAGCAGTTTCATATTCCAATCCAAAAATCGAACCAAACCACACAATTTTGAAAATTTAAAAATTGAATCGAACCACTAATTTGTTGTTTTGCATTGGTTTTTAGGTTTTTTTTGGACTAGTTTGCAATTTTTTGTTTAAGTTGGTTTGGATTTGAACACCCTTATTTAAGATCATTTACTATCTCCACAAATCAACACAAGACTCTTAACATACTTTGTTCTCACTCGCACACTGTTTGGGAAACTTCCCAGAAAGTTACTCATACCTAAATTGCTCCAAATCAAACACACTTAACTATAAAGTTCTTAAATGATGAGCTATATACTAATATTATAATAGTTATTAAAAATTAAGCAACCTTTGGCCTGATAAAACAAATCAAATTTACATACTAAAAAATAGAAAGCATTAACAAGAACCTTTGGAAAGTAGATGTATCTTGTTGTTATAGTTAGTACAAATTAATTCCTTTAAGCCATCCTTAACTTCATAATCTCACTTGTACAAATCTCTAGATTCCTGCCATTCTTGTATGTTTGAGTTGTTATATACTATTACTACATAACTGTCACCCATCACTTAGAAGCAACAACTATTTCACAAACATCATAACTTAGGAAATTGCACATTATAGTACTTAAAAATGAAAAATGCATTTAACCATTTTAGTTTTAATTCAAATTACACAAGAAAATGCATGTAAATCAAATTATTGTAATGTTGAAGATTAGTGAAATATGATTGGATATATTTGTAAAACTTATTTGAATACTAGTGAAAATAAGATACTTCATGCCTTGTTAATATTTTGAGGTGTGAGAGTTACAAAACGATTATGAGGTATGAAGTTTAGTTTTGGAAAATAATAATGTTTATTTAAATTAATAAAGTTAAATTATTGAGTTATGTTACACTAAAAAAAATAAAAGGAAGTGTGCAACTGCCATAATAAATAAATTGTAAAAACGTCTTAAAAATTGTGTATGCGAAAATAATGATCAATCACCTTTATATTGTTATAAATAGAAATTAAAGTATTTAAATAATTGAATTATTTATATAATTGAATTAAAACCAAAATAAGATGTTAGAATATTAATTTGATGTTAATATATTTTATTTTATATATTTTAAAGCACTATTGAATTAAATCATATTAGTTCAAAATGGAAAAAAAAATCATTGCTCCAAAAACATATCTCCAAAATTTTGACAAGATTGAATATTAAGGCACCAATCAAGTTATTATTAGATATTTTTAAGTAATAAATTGTTGGTTAAATTGTACTTTTAGTTCCTCTATTTTTATCAATTCATAATTTTGGTCATTTTATTTTAAAATAAAGACATTTAGTCCCTCTAATTTTAAAAATATTAAATTTTAGTTCTTCCAAAAAATTTATATTCAAAGTAAAACCCTTTTTCATAGATAATGTCAACCAACAATCTATTTTCAAAGTTGTGTGACTTTACTTTTCCCACAAACGAAGGGATATGTAGGAGTAGTAATCAAACCTTTGTTACCAATATAATA